GCCTTCCTCAGAAATTACTGAGGAGTAAAGCATGTGACTGAGTTGGTAAAGCATGTGACTCTTGATCTCAGGGATCTGAGTTCAAGCCCCACATCAGCGTAGAGATTATTGAATTAATGTTTTTAAAAAATAAAGGCTTTCACCTCTGGAAAACAGTGTGGAGATTCCTCAAAAACTTAACACTAGAACTCCCCTATGACCCAGCAATAGCACTGCTAGGAATTTACCCAAGGGATACAGGAGTGCTGATGCATAGGGGCACACGTACCCCAATGTTCATAGCAGCACTCTCAACAATAGCCAAAACATGGAAAGAGCCTAAGTGTCCATCAACTGATGAATGGATCATGAAGATGTGGTTTATCTATATGATGGAATACTACTCGGCAGTGAGAAAGAACATCTGGCCATGTCTAGCAACATGGATAGAACGTGAGAGTGTTATGCTGAGCCAAATAAGTCAGGCAGAGAAGGACAGATACCGTATGTTTGCACGTATAGGAGGATTAGGAGGAACTTTATGGAGAACCATGGGGGAGAAGTGAAAAACAGTAGGGGAGAGGGAGGGAGGCAAACCATGAGAGACTCTTGAAAGCTGAGAACAAACTGAGGGCAGATGGGGTGGGGGAGGGGAAGGGGGGGAGATGGGCATGGAGGAGGGCACTTGTGGGGATGGGCACTGGGTGTTATATGGAAACCAACTTGACAACAAACTATAAAAAAAATAAAGGCTTTCAAAAATAACTTTAAAAGCATAGCCACATCAAACCTTAAAGACAAACCGACTCCGGACCATCTCGGGTTAACAGGGAGGAGAATTCACAAACTAAGCCACTCACCACCCTAAATGAACATGCGTGAGAATGGGGGAGTGTCAGGGGACAGTGGGACAGTGATGGGCATCTTTCCGATTTTTTTGGCACCATATCACACATCGACCTCAACTGCACAGAGGAAACCTGTGGGGGAGGTAACTTATTTAACGTCCTAACAGCTGGTGAGTAGCCACGCTGAACCAGATCCCAAGCGGGTCACACTCACCTCTGGAGATGACCATCCTCTCCCCTGCAGATTCAATGGAAGGATCTGAGCAAGGTCCACACCCAGAACCACTAGCATCAGAAGGACCACAGAGGGGGTGGCCCATCCGCCAAAACTCTGACCTGGTCCCTTCAACAGGGCGACCCAAGGCCTGTGCTCAGGCTTGGGTCACACTGTCTGACAAGTGTGGGCTTAACGTGACAAGGAATTTGAGCAGCCCCAGACAAAATGAAACCTTCTATTTGCTTGAGTAAAGGAGTGATGTGGCATGGCCTCTGTAGGATACCAAACATTGATCAATTCTTCCACTCGAATGGCCTCTCAGACCTAGTCAGCTCAAGTACAAAAAGACCTGGCTTGCTACGTTCCCATTAACCATTAGTCCCTTGTGAAGAACAGGCCAGGTTGTCTGAAGCGCACACTGCCTCTCCTCCACCCTTGAGTCAGGTGAGGAACAGTGGAGGTCTGGGCTGGGCATCTGACCGGTAGTGCTGCTCTCCTATTTATCACGGACTGGAGAAAACTGCCCACAGGGACAGCCACAGGTCTCCAACCAAGTGCCAATGGGCAAATTCAATGGAACCCTACATTCTAGTCCTCATACCACGACCAAAGCCCCCAGTAAACCCACTCATCACCCCATCTTGGCCCCCTCACCTCTGCCAGGCGAGTCCCACCCCCACCTTGGGCATGGCCAACCCGGTGGGGATTCCTTATTTCCTTGGTGTTTCCTCTTCTCCGTCTACCCTGGGTTTTATCAGTTCTTCCAGCCTCCTCTACTCCATCCACCTACTTCCTCCCCTGCCGTTAGCACCTTCCACGGTTCCACTCAAGTCAGCATAAAACTGTCTGCCAGCATGGGCCTCAATGAGGACGCTCCCAGAACAAAAGACTTCATAGAAAGTGGCCACCTTGGCTCAGCCAGTTAAGCATCCAACTTCAGCCCAGGTCATAATCTCATGGTTCGTGGGCTCAAACCCCACATCGGGCTCTGTGCTGACAGCTCAGAGCCTGGAGCCTGCTTCAGATTCTGTGTCTCCCTCTCTCTCTGACCCTCCCCCCCACTCACACTCAGTTTTTGCCTCTCAAAAATAAGTAAACATTACAAAATTAAAAAAAAAAAAAGAAGTGGCCACCTCATGGGCTTTTGTGACAGTTAGAATATAGGCACATGACACAACTTAAGCTTTTGGTTTTTTTGTTGGGTCTGTCATCAGTGATGTCCTTCACCACTTTTTTATCAGAAAAGATTGAAAAAACAGACCAACTAACCAGGAGGCTTAGCTGCCGTGTGAGGGCAACCAGAATTTCCACAGAGCCTCCGGTTGCTATTCCCCCAGCGGCAGGTCTTGCTGGGGTACCCTAGCTTCCCCCCACCCCAGATCAAACACCTTGATGAATATGGTAAAGTAACTATGAAGGACGCTGGCTGGGGCTTACACAGAACGTAGGTGAAGGGTGCTGAAAGACAGAAGCGGGGCCTGGTAGATGACAGAAGACGAAAGCAATGTTCTGCCATGACTCCCAACAAGGTCACCAGTGTGTCTGCCCTGAAAAAAAAAAAGATCACTAGCTTCCCTGAATTCGGAATGGTCTTCAGACAGACAGCGAACAGAAAGACCAAGATAGAAAACCAAGCCCAAAATACTAGAATCCACAAACCACCCCAGGGGTAGCTGGAGGATCCAGGAGCGAATCTAGGAACAAGGCAGAGACTGGAGGGGCCGAATGTCAGTAAGATGGACCAGCGATGTGCACAGAATGGCTTCTGCCCAGTGAGTAGCACTGCTTCTCCTGAGCATTTAAGAAGGGGCCGAAAACAGTCTACAAACATGAAACTTCTCGTCTTTGGCAAGATCGTCACCACTGCCACCAGATGTTCCCACCGCAGAAGCAGCTACGACCGGAGGCCTGGAGACCACCAGATGCTTCCACGTTCACAGCAGACAGCAGCACACACCCCTTCTACGGCTTGCTGGGATCTGCCCACAGTCCACTTGTAACCTAAACTGACATACGATACCATTTCTAGAGCTTGCTGCAAGAGACAAAAAGCCCCGCAGGGTAGTATCTTTCGTGTCCAAAGCAACGTGGCCCCTTCGTTCTGATTACTCACAGACAGATGTGAGTTCAAACAGCAGCAGCACTCAGTGGGACTGCAGCAGGTGACTGACGAACAGATTAAGAAGATAAGGTATATACATACGATGCAATGTTACTTGGTGACCAAAAAGAATGAAATCTTGCCATTTGCAGCAATACAGATGGAACTGGGGAGTATTACACTAAGTGAAATAAGTGGGTCAGAGAAAGACAAACATATGATTTCACCCAGATGTGGAATTTGAGACACAAAAATTAAAAAAAAAAAAAGAAAAGGTCAGATTCAAAGCACAAGAAAGATTCGATGCAACAGGATTCCAAGCAGCACTGCTGGCTTGAAGATGGAAGGGACCACGTCACAAGGAACAGGGCAGCGTCCACAGGCTGAAGGACAGCCCAGCTGACCCCAGGCCGAAAGAGCAACTCCAGCCCCACAGCCGGAGAGCCAGACGCACATTCTTCCCCAGAGCCCAGCTCGGCGGACACTCTGACATCAGCCTTCTGAGACTCTAAGCAAAGAATCCAAGTAGGGTCTCCTACTCCAAGACGTCCAAGCTGGACCACTGGGAGACGACAGACGGGTGCTGCTGTAAGCTGCTAAGTGTGTGTTCGTGTCTCACGCATAACAGAAAACTAACAGCCACGTAAAGCTCTAAGTGGCTTGCCACGGTTCAAGTGGCCTGGCTTTCTTCAACGTTAGGCCTACACAGAAGACTAGGAGGCAAAGCCTCTCCTTACTTCAAAAGCCACCCGCCTCCGGTGGAGAATGCCACTGGGAATCCCAGTGGAAAGAATGAGATCTTCCCCTGCCCACGAACCGTGACCCTGTCCACATACCCAGTGTAGACTCTGTTAGTCGTCAGGGCCATCCCAGCACGGGCCGAGTGTTCCTGCACGTTCTTGCTGCGGGGGCCTTTGCCTGCGCCTTTTCTCCTAACAGTGCGCAGGGCCAGCAATCCTGAGGGGTGCCCAGCAATCCTGAGGGGTGCAGGGGGAACAAAGAGCAGGCTCGCTGGACAAGGTGGGGCCTCTGAGCTCGCGTACCTCGCTGGCTGTGATGCAAGCCGGCACACACTTGGCATCTATCTACCTGGGTCCTCCCCAAGTCAGGGCGACAGGGGGAACCGACACACACACGAAGCTCATGCTGCTCGCTGGGCTCCAGGCAGTGAAGTTCTCGGTCTCTGATCCAAGATTCTGCCGGCATCCACGGAACAGTAATAATCTAACTTACTAGCTCGCAAGTAGGGTAAAACTCCAGACTCCGACACTATTATACACAGAAGTTTAAATCAGGAGGTCACCGTCATTACATGAAACATTTCAATGGGATAAGATGCCCTTCCTGAATTTTGTCAAGAATATAATAAAATCTACATCACACCCGAGATACAGAAAATATTCAATAACTTTAATCGAGCCCCGCCCTCCCCAGACACTCCTCCCCCACAGACACACGACAGACCAGAGAGGGGTGGTACCTGCCTCTGAGATATCAGTCCGTTCACAAGACGAGGGACAGATCAGTTTCACGTTACCAATTTCTGACATGTGCATTCCTCATAAAGACTTCCCCTCATCTTATCTCATTTAATCCCTACCCAGAAACCGAGGCTCAAAGTGGGCAGTCCTCGCAGAAGGAACAGGAACAGACCCTGCAGGTCTGGAGAGCGGCACCACCACAGAAGCCTGGGGTGCAGATGGAGGAAGCCCCAGTGGAGACCTGGGGGCGCAGCCGCTCCAGCAACACGGCCGTGTCCTGACGGCACGCTCTTCCTCCCCGTGGGCCACGGGAGTTCTTGTCACGACTGGGCCTCCTGAGGAATGTCAATGCCACTGCAGAAACGGCTAGAAACCACATGATACAGACAGGCCTTTTATTTAAACGTTCTGAATTTGTTTTTAATGGAAAATGAAGAAATCCTTAACGTAAGAGGCTCTCCTATCCCGGATGAACTTGGACTTGGTCCCTTTGGATGTCCGTTGCAGCGTCTGCTTTGTTTGTAGGCCTTGGGGCCTCATCCTGTGACAGCATCACTTAAGGGTCTTGCTGAGGTTGGAGAAGCCAATGCCAACGCAGGTCAGCAGCACTTTATCCCCACCCTTGAGTTCTTCGCCACATGGTTTGGTTTCAATTTTAAACATAATCTGGAAAAAGCTCTTCAAATGCCGCAAAAACTCTATCCTGAAAAGGAGGGGAAAAAAAGAGGGAGGAGTGAAAAAGGAATTTGATTTTCAAAAATATTCTCCTTCCCCTGTGCAGAACCCAAGCTTTTACTTTCACAGATCAAGAATACCTGAAATTAAGAACTGCTCATTACAACTCATTGAATAGTATTTATTCACAGCCTGCCATTTTCCAAAGTGGATTTAGACAGCCTATAGAGATGCACACAATACAAGATAAACACATTTTTTAAAGGTTCAAGTTTAGTCCATGACACAGAAGTCATTGGGTCCCGCGCAGTTAGAGTGGACATAACAGTGTTAGTCTTTGAGCAGCATATGCAGAGAAACACGTACTCCTGCTCACAGCATCATGGGGTAAAACCAAGCAGATGCCAAATCAGAGCAAAGTCTTTCTCTTTGCTCCTCAACCTCAACAAAACCCTTCAATTTGCTCCACACACATTTACTGAGTGCCTATGTTCCAGGCACTGTCCCTGGTGCTGGGGATCTTGTAGTCAACATGTCATGAAATGTTCAATAAAGTGAGGCAGACAAGTTAAATACTCTTTAAAAGTACTATGGAAATTTAAATAACAAGAAGGGGGTCGGGGGAGAAACTTGGGTATGACAATATTTGTATGTATACGGCAGGAGGCCAGGGAGGAGCTCACAGTGGACACTACAAGAAGTTTCATGGGGCGGTTTCCTGTCATCTCCTTCAAGACACAATGATGGCTGCATCCCAACAGTACCTTTGGAAGGGCAATTCCATGGAAGGGCAAATGGGACAGGTAAGGGGACTTCTACTGGTCGGCCCAGCAGACTCAGCATCTCCCCAAGCTGGCCCAACCAGAAGACTCACCTGGAGGGTTCATTGAACACACAAGTTCCTAAAGGTTTTACTCAACTAACAACTGGTAGGGAATAAGGGTCCGAGTGGTAAAGCCTGGACACAGGCCAACACAGAGACAGCCCCTCCCCACTCATTACCAGGCCCTGTCTCCCCAGGGCACAGGGGCCAGCAATCTATCGTTAACAAGTGACCCTACTGATTCTTATCAGGCAAGACAGAGAACACTGGCTTAGTTAGGAACAGATGGTCTGAAGGTCTGTAATGAAATATCCGGCAACCTTGTGTTACCTCCCAAATGAACCATCCAAACTCCCTATCCTGGCTAGATGGCTCTAACCAGCCTGCTATGGAATCACCTGAGGAGCTTTCAAAAGACTGATTCTAGACAGAAAGACCAATGGGAAAGAACTGAGAGTCAAGAAATAAACCCACCTATTTATGGTAAACTGATTTTCAAAAAGGGTACCACGATAATTCAATGGGGAAAGAATAATCTGTTCAACAAATGGTGAACGACTCCACATGCAGAAGGATGAAGTTAGACCCTCTCTTCCCATCATACATAAAAATTAACCCAAAATGGATTAAGAACCTCTAATACCTAAAACTACAGAACTCACAGAAGAAAACAGTAGTAAATCCTCATGATCTCAGGCTAGGCATTGGTTTCTTTCTTTTTTTTTTTTTTATGTTTATTTTTGAGAAAGGCAGAGCACGAGCAGGGGAGGTGTGAGGGAGAGGGAGACATAGAATCTGAAGCAGGCTCCAGGCTCTGAGCTGTCAGCACAGAGCCTGACACTGGGTTTGAACTCACTAATTGTGAGATCATGACCTGAAGTCAGACACTTAACTGACTGAGCCATCCAGATGCCCCAAGTTTCTTATATATAACACCAAAAGCAGAGTGACAAAAGAAAAGAAACATATAAATGAGACATCATCAAAATTAAAATCTTTTGTGCATCAACAAACATTATTAAGAAAGTAAAAAGACAATTTCCAGGATGGAAAAAAATACTTGCAAATCATATACCTGATAAGAGTCTGGTATTGAGCTTATATAAAGAACTCTTACAACTCAGAAGAAAAAAAAAAAAAGCAAAAACAAAAAGACAAGTAATACAATTAAACATAGGCAAAGGATGTGAATAGATATTTCTCCAAAGCCTTACCAATAGCTAACAAGCACATGAAAGGATGGTCAATCATGACCTGAAGCTGAAGTCAGATGCTTAACCGACTGAGCCACCCAGGCGCCCCAATTAATTGAATTTTAAAGTAGGCTCCATGCCCAGTGTGGGGCTTGAACTCACAATCTTGAGATTAAGAGTAACATGCTCTACATCATGAGTCATTAGGGAAATGCAAATCAAAACCACTATGGGGTCCCACTTCACACCCAACAGAATGACTACAATGAAAGAGAGAGAGAGAACACAGGTGTGGGTGAGGATGTGAAGCAGTTAGAACCCCCGTTTACTGCTGGTTGGACGGGAACACCGTGTGGCCCTGTGGAAACCAGTCTGGTGGCTAACTCCTAAGTAAGAAGCTACCACATGATCCAGGAACTCCCCGTCTCAGGTAGGTACAAAGGAGAAATGCAGCATACGGCCACACAAAAGTCTGACATGAATGTTCGTGATAAAATTATTCGTAACAGAAAAGCAGAAGCATGGAACAAAAACAGACACTCAGATCAATGGAACAGAATAGAGAATCCAAAAATGGACCCACAAACATTCGGCCAATGAATCTTTGACAAATCAGGAAAGAATATCCAGTGGAATTAAGACAGTCTCTTCATCAAGTGGTGCCGGGAAAACTGGACCACTTTCTTACACCAGACACAAAAACAAACTCAAAATGGATGAAAGACCTAAATGTAAGACAGGAAGCCATCAAAATCCTAGAGGAGAAAGCAGGCAAAAACCTCTTTGACCTTGGCCGCAGCAACGTCTTACTCAACACGTCTCCAGAGCCAAGGGAAACCAAAGCAAAACTGAACTACTGGGACCTCATCAAGATAAAAAGCTTCTGCACAGTGAAGGAAACAATCAGCAAAACTAAAAGGCAACCGACAGAATGGGAGAAGATGTTTGCAAATGATATATCAGTTAAAGGGTTAGTATCCAAAGTCTATAAAGAACTTATCAAACTCAACACCCAAAAAAACAAATAATCCAGTGAAGAAATGGGCAGAAGACATGAACAGACATTTCTCCAAGGAAGACATCTAGATGGCCAACACATGAAAAAATCCTCAACATCACTCATCATCAGGGAAATACAAATCAAAACCACACTGAGATACCACCTCATACCCATCAGAATGGCTAACATTAACAACTCAGGCAACAACAGATGTTGGCGAGGATGCGGAGAAAGAGGAACCCTCTTGCACTCATGGTGGGAATGCAAACTGGTGCACCCACTCTGGAAAACAGTGTGGAGGTTCCTCAAAAAATTAAAACTAGAACTACCCTACAACCCAACAACTGCACTACTAGGTATTTATCCAAGGGACACAGATGTGCTGTTTCGAAGGAACACATGCACCCCAATGTTTACAGCAGCTCTATCAACAATAGCCGAAGTATGGAGAGAGCCCAAATGTCCATCGATGGATGAATGGAAAAAGAAGATGTGGTACATATATACAGTGGAGTAGTACTCAGCAATCAAAAAGAGCGATATCTTGCCATTTGCAAGATGTGAATGGAACTAGAGGTATTATGCTAAGTGAAATTAGTCAGAGAAAGACAAATATCATATCACTTCACTCATACTAGGAGTTTAAGATACAAAACATCAATATAAGGGAAGGGAAGCAAAAATAGTAGAAAAACAGGGAGGGGGACCAAACTTAAGAGACTCTTAAATATACAGAACACTCAGAGGGTTGCTGGAGGGGTTGTGGGATGGGCTAAATGGGTAAGGGGCATTAAGGAATCTACTCCTGAAATCACTGTTGCACCATATACTAACTTAGATGTAAATTTGAAAAAATAAATAAAAAAACAAAACAAAATAAAAAATAAAAGCCAGTTTCCACCAATGGGAGAACAAAAAAGCATAAGCAACCCAAATGCCCATCAAGCGGTAAGTGGCTAAACAAAACGCCGTGTGTCCACACAACAGCATACTATTCGGCCTTGAAAAGGAACGCAGCACTGACCCAGCCGCAGCGCGAGCTCTGAAAACCCGACGCCCAGTAAAAGAAGCCAGACACGGAGGACCACAGGCTGCGGGAGTCCGTTCACACAAAGTGGCCAGAAGAGGCAGATCAGTGGCTGCCCGGGCTGCGGGGGCGGGGAAGGGCTAGGGAGCCTCCAGGAACGGGCAGAGGGCTTCTTTCTGCGGCACCGAACTTGCGGTTACGGTGACTTAACTTTGTAAATACGCTAAAAACCACTGAACTGTACACTTTGAATGGGTAAACTGTGTGGTATGTGAATTACATCTCAACACGGCTGTTTCAAATGTAAACATATGGTATTTGTGAAGTTCAGAAGACATACTGAACCTGGCTCCCGCGCTCACACAGTGTAGACACAACTGAGCACAGAGCAGCCCCCGGGTGCATCTTTTACCCCTTCCTGTCCTCCCATCCACACCGGAGAGAAAGGGCACAAAGGAGAAAGGGGGCTGGGACAATCCCTCACCTGGTCCGGCTGATGTGACCAGCGTTTCAGGGACTAAGAGAAGAAAGAGTAACTACCCCGGAGAGTGGCTCTGGTGCGCGGGGTGCGCTCGCAGGAAAGCCCCTCGCTCCCCTGCTCTCCCCTCATCTCCATCTCTAAGGTGGCATCGCAGGTGCCAACTCTCGGGGACAGCATTCCGGGCCCTGCTCGCGATGTCCAATTATTACTGCTGGTGTGCGTGGGCTCACGACCGCCCCTCCCCCTTGGGGGCAATGACCTGTCCCTGCTGGGGAGCCGCTCAGTGCGGAGCAGCACTCGGGTCCTGACCAGGGCCGTCCCCACTCCCGGGGGGGTCGGGAGGGCGGCTCTTCCCCACTGGCTTCCCCGTCTGCCTCACCCACCCAACACTTCAGTCTCTTGCTCGCCGTCCCCCCCTCACCACATCCCTCAGCCTGTCCCCGGAGAGAAAACAAGCACCCCAAACCCGCGGCTGACAAGTCCGTCTCGGCCCGGCTGCGTTCT